CCCCAAAACCCCAAAACCCCAAAACCCCAAAACCCCTAGAGGAATATAAATTATTGTGTGATATATAACAAAAATGGGATGACATTGAAGTAAGCCGAAGAACCAAAGATGTAAGTGGCCATTTTATCCACAAACCTGTGTGATCTCGTTTGGTTAAAGCTACAAATATCATCACTTTCCCTGATTAATCGAGAAATTGGACTTCTTTTTACAGCTACTTAAACAATAAAGACGAATAGTTGTATTAACTCCTGATTGCATAGTGACCCGTTATAAGCCGAAGAGGGCAAAGTCTATAGGAGCGCCTCCCATGGAGATGCGTTCAGTCGACGTTTTGAATCCTTCCAACAGCGTGGAAATCGCAGAAGTAGCCTTAATAACGAATGGTTTCAAGCCAGATTTTGAGAATAATGAGGAAGGAAAATTTAACCAAGTGCCAACCAGAACTATGAAAACAAGGAAAATGAAGAAGAAAAATAAGAATAAAAAGGGGAAACGGGTTCTTAAAAGAGTTTGATATAATGCCACAAGCCAACAATCGTCTTATAGTGACCTTGTCAGCGAATATGTACTAGAAAGCGTCCATGATCTTGAACTGAATTCTAATTTTATTGATGAGTACAGTGAACAGTTACCAACAAATCGAATCCCTCAGTATGCTGAACCAATAAGGGAAGAAAGCAACGAGAGTGAAAATGAAGATATCAGAAGAGAAGAAAATGGATACCATCATCATTCCGACCAACCGGAGTCTCTAAGTGAGAAGAAATCTAATAGTTCAAATGAACGAGAAAGCAGTCAGGAAGAACTTCAAGAAAGCATTGAAAGCGTAGAAAGTGTAGAAAGCGAAGAAGATTCCTCTGAAGGAGAAGGGAAAAGTGAGGAATCTGAAAGCGACTCTGTTCCTTCAGATAACATTAGCGACTCTGACTCAAATCGGTATCTATCACCGAACAAGCCTGCGAGGAGCTCATCAGTTTTCAGGCAATAAGCCTACTAATTAGTCTGTGTATAAAATTATAGGCGCTCTTCATGCTTAAGCTTTAATAAAATTACGATGAATTATCTTGAATTAAAGTTGTTAATTTAGTACAAATGCAATACACTGGTAGCAAAGTCTATTTACCTGAATGCAGGCACCTCCTAATTCAGCCTCATTGTCCCTGAATTCCTTCGTTAATAGATAATGATTGACCAGAAAGAAATTTATGATTTAACTAAAGCAATTTCGGTCATTGGGATACTAATTTCGCTACGAAATTAGCCAAGCTAGAGGTTTTGAAGGATTTTTCTGATAAAATTAGACCTAGATGCTGTATGAGGTCTAGATTAGGAATTTAGAGGAATGAAGGAATTTAGGTCCATAAAATTGTTCAATTACGATAAAAACTTCCGGGGTTTTGGGGTTTTGGGGTTTTGGGGTTTTGGGGTTTTGGGGTTTTGGGGTTTTGGGG